TTAATATTTCTCTTTGAAATTAAAAATGATTTTTCATAAGTAAAAAAGAAACTTATGCGGTTAAACTGTTTGTATAGCTTTATAAAAAAGATGTTTAAAAAAAAAAAAAAGGCTTTTTAAAATTCTAAAAACAATATTTTTTTTTTATTTCATAACTTATTCTATATATTTTTTAATAATATTTTTTTATATAATCTAAAAAATAATAATAAATTATTTACAATGCATTTATTTACATTGTGGGATTGTACAAAAGGGAAAAAAACAACAAATTATTTACATTTTAAACTAGATGAAACAAAATATAAATAAATGGCTAAATGAAAAAAAACAAAATGGAACAAAACTTACCTATATAAATGTACATAGATAATAATACTTTTATGTATCAAATGTTTTGTCCAGAACTCTTATGTTTAATGAATAGATGTCTGTTTAAATTCTGTTTTGTAATTGATGAGTATGTACAGTACTGGCACATATATTTCCTTTGACCAGTATGTTTGCTTTCATGCCTTTCAAGGTTTTGTTTTGTTGTTGATGCATATGAACAAAATGAACATTTAAATGGTCTCTCACCTGAATGTCTTAACAAATGTCTTTTTAAATTTTGTTCAGTACCTGTAGTAAAAAAACACACATTACACTGAAAATCCATTCTGTTCTTAAATACTTTTATACTTGAATTGTTTAATCTTGTATTAGGATTAATATAACTTACATTCATCATTGACTTGTTAAAATTTTCATTTGAAGTTTCACGGTTGTTTATTGTAGAATTGGTTGAAGGCCTTAATTGAGAGTCATTAAAATTTGCTGTGAAATGAATATGTAGATAAATATGTTCAATTAATTCTTCTTTTGATAATGTTTCGAACTCACACACGCGACATTTAATCAGTTGCTCTTGGGATTCTGGTTCTTCTTTTAGTAAAGTAATTACGGAAAAATCACTACCATCATCCGATCCAGTTGGATGATCATTATTTTCCTGACCTTTTATAATGTCGGACAAATTTTTATCACTTTCTAAGCGCTCAGTATTCATACTGGATCATATGAGCTACACACCAATAAATAAACATAGGAATATATTATATCAAAAGCGCTTAAAGAACGAAAAACACATATTTAAGAAAAAATAACAAGCATTATCGAATTCACATTATTTTAAAATGGTCAATAAGCAGTGTTGCTGAGTGTGAAAAATATTCATTGATAAAAATCTCTTTAAATTTAATATTATTTTAAAATATAAAGGTAATAAAGCACTTTTAATTGGTTATTTTAAAATGTTTGTTTTTAAAACTAAGTTATTTATTTTTCTTAATAATATCTTGTTCAATGAAATTTCTGGATCAAGAAAATATATTTTGAGAGCTATTTTTTAGCCTCTAATCCATAAGGGTTTGTATATTTAATTTGAAATGTTTCATGTAACTTTCAAAACTCAATATTTTTAAGTTTATCTTTGTGTAAATTTTATACCAATTTTAATCAGACAAAATATTTCTCAAGTTAATTACTGTTTTATATGTGTTAGGACACCTTGTGAACTTTGCACAATTTTATTATGCCACGATTCATCCAAAAACCCGCCTAACCTAGCCATGTCCCAACTATCCCCCTGCAAAGCTATAAACTCCTGGTGACCCGGAAGCCAAGATGTACCCTGAATCCTCCAGCCTTGACAGCGTTGACCCAGTGTATAATATATTGAAGAAATGTCAGGCTCAGAGTACAGACCCTTACCTGGCACTGCTTGCTTACAGGAATACACCAAGGAATAATCTTCCATTGCCAGCAAAATTGATGTTTTTAAAAACACACACTGTTCTTTGCAGGTATCAATACAGTGATCCTCAAGAAATTAATAGTACACAAAGAAAAATCAAATAATTATGAAAGAAAAATTTAACAAAAAAATCTAAAACAGCACCCCAGTTGAAAGTGTTGAGAATGCATAGTGTCAAGTAACACCTAAGCAACATGGACACCTGTGCGATTTTTGTCTCCTGGTACTACGTAAAGATGCCATCGGGAAGAATAATCGCCAGAAACCAGCATTTCTTGAGACCACAAACTAATTTAAATAATAAGCAGAGTGCTGTAAAAATAGCTGAGTACTGTACCCATATATTTAAATTTTATTGTGAAGAGCGCCATTCATAAATAAAAACCTTTAAAAATGATTTATGTAAAACATTTCTAGATAAAGTTGACTACAAGTCTGTAACCTGAAAAAGTAAATGAAAATTTGATTTATGTAGACATTTTTATTCTATAAATTGAAAGCTCTCGAAATTAAAATTGAAAATGTTACAATTAAAGTTAAATGCTACATATTTACACACACATTATTCAATATTTATTTCTATTTAAAATTTCATTTTCTGTTCTATAATATTAGGTTTTTGTTTAAAAAATACGTAATAACAAAATTTTTTAGGCTAATTTAGTATATTATATAGTTTATATATATATATATCTAGTATATTCTGAATAAAATTCATTTAAAAAAAAAGCTCTTTCAATGAAATTCCTTTTTACTTTTGCTTGGGAGAGAATTCATCATCATACCTTTCAGAAAATTATGCTTTTCTTATTTCAATATTAAATCGCTATACCATTCTTTATGACTAAATCATTTTTTTAGTTCTAAAAGTAATTATTTGAAATATAAAGTAATTAGCGATGGTAAGGAAATATGGAAATAGTAAGATTTTATCAGCTTACCATGATGTAAAAGATGATTTTGGAATTTCCTTGCATTTAGCTGCAAACAAGGGTCAAACAGAAAGAGTCCAAACTCTATTGGATGCTGGAGCTCGGGTAAATAAAATTGATCGTAGCGGATCAACACCATTAATATTAGCTGCAAGAAAGGGCTATTTACCCATTGTTAAACTTCTTTTGGATAAACAGGCAGATATTAATGTCGCCAATTACATGCAACAGACACCATTACATTGTGCCACCCTTAATGAGCATTTGCCGGTATTCAAATATCTAATTAAAAAAGGAGCCGATGTAAATCCAAGAGGACATTTTGGCTATACACCCTTGCATACTGTTGTATCTAGAGGTAATTTAAAATTTGTGAGACTTTTAGTAGAAGCGGGTGCAAGCATTAGTGCCCATAATGCATTTAAGACTACTGCTTTACATTGGGCAGCCCAAGAAGGTCATTTAAATATTGTCAAATATTTATTGGAAAAAGGGGCTAACCCTGATAGTATTGATAACATGATTGGAAGTCCACTTCATTATTCCATCGTTCAAAGTCATGATAAAATCTCTAAATTCTTGATTGAATCTGGCGTAGACACCCATTCTAAAAATATCAACAAAGAAACACCCTTGAGCATGGCAGTTCATCTAGGAGCTGTCAACACAGCAAAAATAATAATTGAACAACATGTTCTTGAGCCAGACGCTCTAAAACCATTTTTTGTTGAGAAACACACAGATTTATCAAGGTACTGGGATAAATGTAAACTTGAACTGGAAAATATGCAACAGAATTGGATTGCTAGTAGTAGAATAACCTATCATCGTTTTTTAAGAGAAAGTAATGTAAACAAACTCGCAGGATATGTTTCAAATGCAAAGACTAACCTCAGAAAAGGCTTAACCAAAACTAAACTGCTAAAGAAATTTGCAAATTATGCTCGGCTATTCATCATTCAACTTGAAAAAGGAAGGAAACGAAAGATTCTTTTGTTCAAATACAGAGCTTTAATGAGAAAAAGTAATATGAAAATGCTGCCAACTGAAATTGTCTTTAAAATTGGACATTATCTTTCCAACGAGGATTTAAATGTTCTTACAACATTAGCCTAACACAATATATATATTTGTGAAAAGCAAAAAAAAAAGAAGATATTTTATGCTTAAATATCACAAGGTACCATGACCAAATTTAAATAAGTACTATATATATATATGTGATATTTCAGTAACTAGGAGAATTTACTAAACCGATAACCATCTTACATATTGGCCAACGAGTCACAGTACACCAAACCTTAACAAAAGGGTAAAAGTTAATGTAACAGCTTTTTCCTAAAAGAGTAATTATTGAAACTTTTGTGCAAGCTCAAAAAGTTCATAATAATAACATTAATATTTACCCCTTTTGTTATTGTCAGAAACCCACAAAAATTCTTAATCATGAATAACCTAACTAAACCTAACCAAACCTATAAAAAAAAAAGGTAGATGATTAGTATACTAACCTACCTAGAATTACTCCAACAAAAGTACGAAATTTTGTATTCTTTGTCCAAGAATGATGGTAATCTTACTGAAATATCACATAGAAATTACCTACCTTCCCCTATTTACATATATAACCCAAATTTCTCTCATATATATATATTGTATTGTGTCTACCTCGTGTCTATTGTAGATGTCATTTTAAATTAGCATTTAACTATGAAATGACAGTAGAAATTATTCTTGAGGCGCCTCTCCTTATATTGTCTTAATATCTAAAGCAACAGTGGAATCCCCCATTTTAAAACAGCCAACTTGGTATTAACTTGTAATTCTAAGGTTTCCCCTATGTTTCTAGCAACACCCAATAATCATGATATTTCTATATTATCGTTGCTTAGAATTTGGAATTTCTTCATGTGTTTCTAATCTTTTAATTGTGTACCTATATGCAAATACCAAGTGTAATGAGATGTTCCATTGTATATATATCCAGTTTAAAATGTGTATAAAATTAACCCCTTTCTCTAAATATATCACATCTTATCTATTAACCATTTCTCGCATCGATTCCAAACTCAAAAAACTTATTTTTTCACTTCTCAAAAAAAATTTTACTTTTTTTTTTTTGGTTTTTAATCATAGAACCATTCATAACCCAGAAATTTTTTTTTAAATTATCAGCATTAAAAAAAAAAAAAAGAAATTAAGCTAATTTTCTTTTGCATAATAAGGTAAAATTTGGATTATAAATTAGAAACACAAGGTAATAAGACCAAATCCAAATAAATAACTAGTGTGATGTTTCAGTAACAGCGCTGTTACTGAAACGTCATACACTAGTTATTTACTTGATTTGGTTTTATTACCTTGTGTTTTTATAGTTTCCTTGCAATGATATCATTCTAACTAGAAAATGTGTTTCTATCTGCCAATCAGAAATGAGTGTATATTCATTGCAATGAGGCTATAAGATACATAGCGCAGAAACTAACAAACTGTCAAAAGAAATTGTGTTTTTTTTTTTTTTTATTTATGAAATAATGCTTAATATTGCTTATTTATAGTTGAACTTTGTTATAGCAGCTTCTTTGATAACAGAAACTTGGTTATAACATCATGATTCTAAAGTCCCAATTGTTTTAACAATAGCTCATTGTTGTATAAAATCACAGAGCTGAGTGATGTATATGCTGTTATAGCGAGGTTCGACTATAATTTCTCTTTTCAAGTAGTGTAAATACTACATTTCATTATTTTATTGAAGGAAATATTTTAAAATATTTTATTCACTTTTTTTTCTTCAATTTATCCCCTCTTTATCAGAATTCCTTTGAGCATCCCAAGTGTGGTTTCTTCAAGGTTTTTAACTATATATATATATTTTTATATATTTTGATTTTATTTGTTTATATATTCTATGTATATGTGCTACAGGACATGGAATTTGAAACTGCATATGTACTGTAAGTTATGCCTACACAGATAGAAAGCAGGTATGTCATTATCATTTATAAGTTTCATTTATAAGTATTTGCAATTTGCACTTTTTTTTGGTATTACTTCATAACTGGCCACTACTCGCAATGTACCTGTTCATTATTTACATACGTAGTTGCATAAGGCATATTTCCAAGACATTTTTTTTTTGGTCCAGTCATTTCAAAGACTACCTCAAAATCATACATTACTGCATGCGTGTATTTCCATTTTAAAATCGCATAGATCAAATCTCTCTACTCAGGCGTCTGCACAAGAAAACATTTTTAGGGTTAAGAGTTTTTCATATTTAGCTAGTATCGCATAATGTTGTCACCAATGCTCCTCCTCTTGGTGCTCTTTAGATTTTTCCATGTTTTCACATTGTTCTCTTCCATTGTCATCATGTAGTGCCATCTCTGATGGAATGCCATTTCACCTTGTTCTGAGAGCATTTCTCTTCACCTCTTATAATTCCAGAGACCATTCTATTTGATTGATCAATCCTTCGATGGTTTAACCTCTCCTCTCATTCTTTAACGTTTAATTTAATAATGGCACAAAAACATCCAGAGCTAAGTTTCTTGTACAATTTTATTTCTTTAGATTTCTGGCTAACATGCCCTTCTTTTTGATATTATTGAATTATAAGTCACAAGGGATGAACATATTCTTGAAGGTGTATTCATTCGTCCAGTATGGTCAATGGACGATATCTACCACAGACTTGGGTAATGGCAACTAGTGTGTGATTCCAGGGAGTATTATGCATCTTTCATCTCTCCGCCTAGATTTGCATAAGTGATTCTCCCAGAGCCCACAAGACAGGGAGTATGTTTTGCTTGCCATAGCATGAAACCAACAGGTAGGATTGATTAGAATGTTGTCTAAAGCATTTCTTTCTTTCAACTCTCTCTGAATCTATGTTGTTGTTGTTGTTGTCGTGTCCAAAGAAGAGTCTCAGATGTCTCCATACATCTCCATCACAGCAGCAGCAATATCCACTATCTTGGGTGTGTAAAGCTGCTGCTCTGGGTCTAAGTCGATTTTCTGCAAGGCTGCGGCCATTGCTGGGCATGAGAATATGTGAGTAGGTGTTAGTTCCACACCAGGACAATTGTTGCACGCTTTATAAGTTCTTGTGCCATCTGGATGTATTGTCATTCCTTTATGGTGTTTTGTTCTAAGTCTTGTTATGGTTTTTGTCAGTTTTCTCTCAGAGTTTATTTCACATATTTGATCTTTTCTTATTTTTTGTTTGATTATCTTGTATTTTGCCAAAGCATCAGCGTCAAATACTGACATTTGTTCTTTCCTTTGGCTCAGCTTTCTGGCTTCCTTTGCCAATTCATCTGCCATTTCATTACCCTCGATCCCAACATGGGCAGGAATCCATTGTAGAATGCAGTTCTTCTCCAATGTTTCCAGTTGGGTAAGTAATGAGTGTATTTTCTGCGTGATTCTAGTATTGCCCTTCTGAATTGCTTCTAGAGCGGATCTGGAGTCGCTGTATATTATGATTCCTTCTGCTTGATGCAGGGATGGTTGGTTCAGGCATACATCAAGGGCTTTCCAGATAGCTGTCAGTTCACAAGTGAAGTTTGACGAAATCTTTCCTGCTCCTTCTTTGATTTTGATGTGTGTCCCATCTTGGAGTATTATGTTAATTCCGGCCCCTCCATTACTCAGGGTAAGGTCTGATGATCCATCTGTGTATGCTAAAAAATAATTTTTCTGATCATATAAATCAATTGTATCAAGTCCCTTCTTTTTAAGTATGGTTTTGTTCTCTTTTTTATTGCAGGGTTCGTTCAGGTTGAGATTGATGATTATATTTGAAGGTAATGTGGTCTATAACAGGGATATATGAAATTATGCAAATGTTTGTGTTGTTCTTCACCATGTACTCAGATCGGCCGGCGGCCATTAGGGGAATACCCATCCCGTTGCGAACATTTCTCAGAATCTGATCGAGTTTGACTCTGTATATTGGAAACCTCTGAGGTATTTGACATTTTTCTTTCCCAATATATTATTTTTCATTTGTGATTTTTCTATTTTGACAATTTTTACCATATTATCATATATATTATTTTTAGATATATTTGTTTTTTTTCTATTCACACACAATATGATATAAATATTCAAATGATATTCAATATAAATTGAAGGAGATTGGAATGACTCCTATCAAAATATTGTAAATATAACCAAAGTAGTTTTTAATTTTTACTAAAAATTGTGGAAGACAATGTGTGGGATAAAGAAAACCCCTATTGACATTTTCCAATCTTTATTTCGGATGACGATGCAGAAATCTTTTGGCTACTCCCTGAAAAAAAAGGACAGCAGAAAACAGATTTACAGCATTCAAAGATCATCCAAGATATCAAGAACATGCCAAAGAAGAAATAATACAAAATTATATATATATATATATGCAAATTTATTTTTTATTTTTTTGAAATATTTTAAATATAAGATTAAGTTGATTAACATGATTTTTTTTTCCATATTATTTTGCCTGCCCATAGATTGCATTGGATAAATTGATTGTTTCACACACATATATACATATGTATATACATATATGCATAGAGGGGCACCTTTCCCTTTACGTATGCATCAGAACAATGCATTATGCTTATACACACATATATATATATTCATATATACATATTCATTAACTTTGTTTTATGTATGTGCTGCTTTTCAATTGTGTCTACATTTATATGCATTAACTTTGTCTTGTGAGTGCTTGTATATGTGTGTTTGGTATATATATATATATAACAAATGTGACTTTTTCGTAAAAATCTTTTCTCAAACTACTCGCATCTAGAGACTTATTTGTATATGGATATATAAAGATTATGGTTTAAAATCCTAGATTTATTGCTTTATTTGTCGTAAAATTCACAGGGTAACAAGGCCAAAAGAGTAAACTTTTTTGTTTTGGTAACAGTCCCTTGAAAGACCAGAGTGACCAGATATAGTATTTATTATGTGTGGTCAACAAACTCGCAGAATAATATGTGCATATTTACTGGATGTATATATAAATTTAACCATGTGTAGACATTTACTTGATTGGAAGATCTCTATAACAAAGGCATCATATCTCATAAATCATCATAACTTAAAAAGAGCTACCTAAAAGGATTTATTGCACACCATGTATTTAGTGGGTTTGCCATAGAATATTCGATATGCCATGGTTTCCAAATCCTCAAAGTTGGCAGCAATAATGACTGATCTAAGTACTCTCTTGTAAAATAATTACAAAGGATTTAAACGATATATATCAATAAAAATAATTGCAAAAGGTTTCTTTATTAAATAAAAATGGCAAGCTTTCAAGCGTTAGCTCATCATCAGGCCAATTGTTTAGCAAATTCCTACAATAAGTACTCTTGCGTGGTAAGGACAAAATACTCAGGAGATAAGTTTCTTCATTAATTTATTAGGACATCAAGCTTTCGGGCACAGCTTGGCCCTTCTACAGGATCAATTGTATAAGAAAAATGATGCACTATATACACGAAGAATAAATCTGCATATGTATTATTAGAAATTAGTTGTAAAATTTGAAATAATCGGTAATACTTAGGATTTTTGTTTAAAAAGAACATCGAGACATAAGCAAATTAATAAAATATGTTAAGAAGAATGATATACGAATATTACAAGGTATTAAGATAAAGGCGTAATAAGACAGAAAGGACGTTCCTACAATTCGACGGAAACTGTGATAAAATTATGAGTATTTATAAGGTAAAACAGTTTAAAAGGATATTAAAATAAATGAACATAACAGGGAATTCATGGGGTACATCAATGGCTATTTATGTAATAAGCTTATATACGGCTCAGGTAGATCAATATGTCTGTTTATACTATTATACCTCAGAGATAGCAAGGGAAGATTTTACCTCGTTTAGAATAAGTACTCTCTAGTAATGCCAAAACTTCATAATTAGTTTACCTACGTTGTGTTGTTACCCTGTGTGTGAATTAAATTTCTTTAAACAAATTTGTGGAAACAAGAATATACAGATATTTTCTACATTGATAAAACTATGCAAAATATCACATATATATATATACTTGGAAATTTGCATACTCAATTGCTGATTTTTTTTTGTTTGTTTAAATTCTCACATTGCAATTGTCTAATTGCCTTGTTTTTATTTATTTTTTCTTGATATTTATGTTTTAGAGAGTATATTTTCTCTTGAAAGATTTTCCCAGAAACATTTGGGTCTCCTTGAGGCAGTTTCTTATTGGAGGTTGAAGTCAATTGACAAACTTTTTGATATTTCAAAAGTGAATTGTTCATTGGAGGTTATTCTTATTCTATAAATTCTCTATCAAT